CCTTTGAAACCCTTCATGGCTTGGGTCCAAAATAACTTCAGGAGCACCTTGCCCATACGTATTGCCTGACCAGCTAAAGTCCTCTGGGATTATCTTCTGAAATCTGCTTCTGCCAGATTTATGTCAACTACCAGGAGAACTTTTTCAGTGTTTGCCCCTAAGCTGTGGAATGGTCTGTCAGGACAGATGCATACGATTTCCCAAATTCCCACCTTTAAGAGGAAATTAAAGATGCATCTCTTCCAATAGGCCTTCCCAGATTAGCTCTCATGTCAGTTTTATTTAAGATGTTGTCTTAGTCAATATGACTTACTGTTGGTTTTAATTTTCTGAAAATTGCCCAAAGCCTATGGGAATGGAGTGGTATATGCATGTTAAGATTAAATAAATATATGCAGGGAGCAAGTGTTCATGTCATTTCTGTATTCCTTTCAAGCTCTCCCCTGAATGCCTCTGTGCTTGAGCACCAAAAAGGCATCTTAAAAGCTCCCCTGCCCTCCCAAAGTTCACAGTCTTAGCTGTCTTAATGCAGCACCTTACTTTTCCTTCTGATATATTTTTTTTTAAACTTGGACTGGATTACTCCCACAAAGACATGATGCTCTTGTAATACGGGGAAAGTTTTCTTGCAGTTCTTCAATGCCAGAATTACCCGCTGTAGAAAAGATACAGCATGCCTTCACCCCTCCATTGAGCAGAAGGGAGCTTTTATGATAGCCAAGAACTTCATTCAGTGTGAGGGTAAAGTTCAATTCCAGAGACGCTCTTGTGGAGCAGTTTCTAGAAGTGGGCAGGGCCAAAAACCAGCCTATTTTAGCATAAAGCTTTCCCTGCCAGTAACTAACCCTTAAGAATGTCACGGTCATTTGAAAGATTAAGGAAAAGACTATGCAAAAGCTAGGAAAGTACCAAATATTTGGTAGCTAGACGAAGGGTGCGGTCAATATATATATAAAAAAAAAACCAGCTAGATTTAGCCGAAAACTTTTCTGCCTGTAACTAAGCCTTAGTTTAACCATTTGAGAATTGGGGGGAGAAATGGGAAAGCTGGGAAAACACCAAGGGACTTGCCAGGGTAGTGGGCCAGGGGAAGAGAGCATGGCCTTTGGAGCAATCTCAGGGAGCCAAGCTGGTGGCCCAGGTGGTTCTGATTTGGATCCAGGCCTAAAGATCAGCGTCCCTCTCCTAATGTCATTTTGGGCTTCTGCAGCCTTGGGGTTCCCCCCTGGCCATCTGAATACCCCTTTCTGTGCACTCAGAGAACCCAGAGTGTTGCACTGAGCTGGTGACTTGTCAATATCTCTAGGAGTTTCCTGCTGGCTGGGAAAGCTAAAGATGATGAATGCAACACAGGGAATCTGATATACTAGGTGTAGACGTGTTCTGGTTTCCATGCATGACATTCCAGCAATTCAAGGACAAGGCTTCGATGTACAAGGGCAACAGGACTGCAGATTTGTGATATGCCTCCTGGCAGAGTAGATGTTCTTCAGTTCAGCAACATACATGACTTCACCACAGCCTGTGGATCTCCAGATATTTTGATCCAAAACTCCTATGGTCTGTTGCTGTTGGCTCAGCTGGCTCAGGCTGATAAGAGCTGTGAGTCCCAACATCTGAAGGGCCACTAGTTGCCTGCCTTGTTCTACCACCACCGTGACCTGACCACAGTATTCTGAAGCACCTGTTGAAAAATAGCGATGGCTTTGTTTGTGATCGTAGGCTCTGCTAATGGATTGTAGACACCCAGGCTTCAACCCTCCATCCTCTTAGCAAGAAGGGAGGAAGTACAATTGAACTCACTGGGCCTTACTTTTGAGAAACAGACATGCAATTGTGTGGCACAGTCAATGATGGTATTTCATTGTAACTTCCCGCCTTTATCTGGAACTGTTCTTTCAAGTGAGATTTCTAATTAAATGCAGTCAGTGATTCTGGATAAAATGAATGAGACTAAGTGTTTTTCTTTATAAATTTCCCTGTTTCTCTTATATGGAGAAAATAAACCAAATAGAAGCAATACCCAGGTCCAGCAATTGCTGGCAAGAAGTTGATCTAGAGCAGGAGCAGGTAAGACACTTGGCTCAGAGTGCATGAATTACATGGGGGTCCACCACAATGTCTATGCATTCCTCTGATTCTTTGCAGGGAACAGGAGAAAAAAGAGTGCATGTGTGTGGACTGAAACAACACAGGAACACCCAGTAACTCCTATTATGGATACGATGTGGGTTGTTGCTGAAGTATGTGCTACTGGTGAAGAACTAACATTTCACAACCTAGCAGCAAACCATGAGTTTCCTTCAAGGGTGGTTTGTGATGAAGTAGCCATGGTTTGCTCTTCTGGCTGAGTACAAACTACATGATAATCCATGTTTTAACAACTCACTTTTCTACAACAAAGCATGCTCAGTTCATACTCAGGCCATGATTGAAGTTTGTGATGCTCTCTGAACCGAATCCCCATGTTAAGGTGCTCTAACCCATCATACATGGCTGCACCTGAGTCAAGCCCATCTGAACTTCTTTCTAGCTTTCCCTCATGGTATTTAGCATACTAAAGACGGGTTGGTCCCAACACAGTTACAGTCCTGTGAGTTTCTCTACGGCCACTTAACCATTAAAAGGGAGAAGCCATTCAAGGGCAGGTGCTCCTCACGCCAGCCACCCCACAGCCATACCTCCACCGAGAGTCCCAAGATGTAGTCGTATTGTCCTGTATCAACAGGACTATTCTAGCTGCTTTCATCTGCCCCATACGCAGATCTTCCCAAAAGCTAATACAGCCTCCCACTCTAGCTTGACTCATGAGCACTTTAGAAAATAGGTTCAAGGAAGACGTTGCAAGTCACCCATCCACAAAGCTGACCCTGCGGAAACACAACTGAATGCCTCTCGGAGATTGCGATCTCGTGTGTGTACATGGAACACTGCGGGCATTACTTCTGAGTAGACTGATGGAGGTATGCTCTTCGCATCACACGCACCTTTCCTCAGCCCAAAGAAAATGACCTCAGCCCTAAAAGTAAAGGAATATTTTCCTAAGTTAACCGCAGCCACCCCAACGCTCCTATACCAAGATAAGTAAGTGAGAAAAGCCAATCCAAGGGGCTGGAAGGGAAGAGAAAGGTGTGTGTGAGAATCAAATAGTGAAGCTTGACTAAGGAGAAAGCAGTGGTGAGGTCTGTTTGGGTCAAAGAAGACTGGGCAGAGAAGACTGGGAAGTCCTCTCTTTGCCCACGGAACAGCTGATTAGCAGAAGTTCAAAAACAGGAAGGAGACCCTGGTGGCTTCACACTTTTCAAGCTTTCTATAAAAATGCATTTTCAAAGGACCCAAGGAGTGGAGGGTTTATGGGTGCTCTTGGAGGTCTCTGTGGGGCACCTTGGTGGCCATGGGCCACATCTTGGGGACCCCTGAACTAAAGGGTCTGCTTTGCCACCAGGATATTACATTAAACCAGTGTGGCGTAGTGGTTAAGAGCATGGAATTGGGACTCAGAGGATCCGGGTTCGAGTCCCCGCTCGGCCATGGAGCCAACTGGGTGACTTTGGGCCAGTTGCAGACTCTCAGCCCAACCTACCTCACAGGGCTGTTGTTGTGGGGATAAGATGGAGGAGGAGATGTAAGCTGCCTTGAGCCCTTTGTAGGAAAAAGGCAGGATACAAACCGAAAAATAAATAAATAAATCAGGATCGTTTGTATTATATTGTTGCTGGGAAAATCCATTCTCATCTGCAGAGAAAGCTGTAGGAATGGGAAGAATAAACTTGGCTTGTGTGCCCTTATAGCCAAGTTGTATACAACAGTGTTGGGTAAAGCTATAAATTCACGGCAGGAGTCCCATGTTAAGCACTGTCTAAAGGTCTTGGTGTAGCTCAGACATTTAAAAAGAGGGACTCAAAAGTACATGGAGAGAATGCACAGAACTGCATGGGACACCTGGTCAGATTTCATGGTCTCTGCTCTCTATATTGTGGAATTGTCCTCTGTACGTTGTATAAATGGGGCAGACCCATCCATACTTTCAAATGGGTGCCCCATTCCATCCCGTTTGTTTGGCTTTTGTTTGCCAAGCAAGATCCAAACCTAACAGAGAACTGAAGGGAAGATCAGAGGAAGATACCTGCAATATGGGAATAGAATATCGGTCTATCTTGCAAGGCTGTTTTTATGGATTCCTGCTAATGAAAGCAACTTCCAAGATGAATTCCTCAAAACACTGACGGCTTTATTTGTATTATTTTTGTTTTTGCCAACATCTTGCTGGTTTGTAACTCAGACTTGAGCAACAGAAGATAAGAACAAGACACGGCCGGCGAACCCGAAGCGAGATTTTTATTCGTGGGTTGCTCGTTCCTGCTTGGTGCTTACGGGAGGACCACCAACCCCAGGCATTTCACAGCCCAGAACAAGAAGGAAGAGAGCGCTGGGGCACGCGGGACATTCTCCCGGGCCAGCCCCACGAACCGGCAAGACGGAAAGGGGGGCCGTCGCGCAGGGATGGGCCCAGGGGCCGCGTCCGCAGCTCCACCGCGGGGGCTGGGAAGCGCTCTGCGGGTGGGCGCCGGCCAACGCTGGACTCCGGCGCGCCAAGCAGGCGAAGCTCGGAGGAACCGCGTCCTCTGCCGGGGCCGGGGAACGGCGTGCGCGGCGGAGGGTGGCAGGCTCGGCTGCGCAGGCGGCGACCTCCCTTCTGGGATCCCGGGCTTTCCTCGGAAGAAACGCGCCCCCTGCCTTAAGTGGCGACGCTGGGCGGGGCGTCCCGCTGGCGGAAGCCGTGAGTCACCGCGCGGCCATAAAGGCCGGGAGACAGCTGCGAGGGAGGAAAGAGGCGTCAAGTGCCCCAGCGACGAGCGGGAGAGCGCGGAGAGTCCCCGGGAGCGCACGCTGGACTTGGAAGGGCGCTCGCCACGGCCGATGCTTTCGATGCGCACGATGGTGCTCTGCGTGGTTCTGCTTTCGCTCCTCGCCGTCGGCCAAGCAGGTTGGTGCTACGGAGGGAGCCCGTGACGCCTGCCAGGGTGGCGGGGCTCCCTAGGAGAGCGACTTTCATGCTGAGCCTCCTAGGAGCTGTCCGTGGTGCTGAACGCCGCCGCCGAAACCCTCTCGAGGGCCACCGGGCATCCCAGCTACTAACACCCTCCTTCACTTGTTCTTCTTGACTAACTAGTGCTCTCCTTGCCCTGTGGGCTTTCCTGGGAGTAAGTCCCACTGAACTTGGTGGGACTTGCCTGTGAAAACACCTTGCACTGCCTTGCTAAATAGGCATGTGATGTGGGCCTTCTGGCGACTTCCTTTTGATGTTCCCGGAATGTCTTTCTACCTTGCAAGAATTTGTTTTCGATTGCAAGTTGCTTCAGGGGGCGGGGGCATTAGGATTGGAGTTAGGCTTTTCTTTTTCGTTTCTTTGGAATGCATCGAGAAGTAGAATGGAAAGGAAGTTGGAAACAGAAACTATCCATCTTGTACTGTACAAAGCAGATCTGGACAAACCATTGGCTATATTCACAATATCAAGGATAAGCAGTAGTATTTTTCGATAGTGAGGGAAAGCTCTGATCTGAAACACTGAAAAGTGAAAACATTGAATGTAACAGGGAACTGTCATTACTTAATGCTATAGATTGTCTATCATTGAAAAGATATGTTATATAACTTGCATGAGCAAAATTTTGGCTTAAAACATCTCACTTATTTAAAGAAAATCACAGGATTCTCTCTCGCATTCTCTCTCTCTCTCTCTCTCTCTCTCTCTCTCTCTCTCTCTCTCAGTGTTCCGAAATTTCCAATTCTTTTGCTAAGAAACTTGGGCAAGGAAAGTTGAGGGGAGGTCCAGTAGTGACTCAAAATGTGTTTGCCTGTTAGGTTTCCCTACCTTTCACATTTCTGCTAGGGCATTTTTGGTAGATGTTTTGTGAGGGAGACATTTTTGCATTAGAAGGGGAGGCAAAAAGAAGCTTAATGTTTGATACTGGAGCTACTAATGGCCTGGAACTTTGGTTGTCCGTAGCCGTCACAATCTGTCTTTTCTAAGGCCACTATCCCACATGCACTTAACCTGAGCAGATCTAGAGGAGTTTGGTCTACCTAACCTGCCCACCTTTCTCTCCTGTGTTTCTTTCCCCCACTAACCTAGCGGGGAAGAGAAAAGGGAGGGAAAGGATAGAAAGAGGGGTAGAAACAGGAAAGGATAGAAAGAGGGGTAGGAATAAAAGGGAGAAAATAAAACAGAATGAAAAAAGAGAAGGTGGTTGAGGGACAGGCAAAGGGAGAAAAGAGGTGGGAAAGGAGGGAAAGGAAAATCAAATAAATGTGCAGAAACCAGAGAAGAAAAGAGACAAGGGAAGAAGCTGCCAAAGTAGAAAGAAAAGGAAACCCTGTGGAAATATTCTGGTGGCAGGGTGATATGGAGACTTAGAGCGCATACTTACAGTGATGAGTTCAGGAGGCAGAAAGAGGTGGAATGAAAGGGCAATTGATGTAATGGTTCAGCTAATGCCTGTACACCTTTATAAGGCTCTCTTCTTATGCCACGTCTCTCTATTCCCTTTAGCTAATCCATGCTGCTCTTACCCCTGCCAAAACAGAGGAGTGTGTGTATCTGTTGGTTTTGATGGCTACGAATGTGACTGTTCGCGGACTGGATTTTCTGGACAAAACTGCACGACACGTACGTATTTCAGAAAGTTGCACTTGTGTAGGTGACACGTGGAAGAAGGGCTGTAGTTGTGGTGCTTGGCATTTCCAGGTAGGGTGTAGACTGGAGGTCTGGAGATGTCTGGCCATCTGGGGAAGGCTGTGGAGCCATTGGGAATACGTGTAGTCTCCCTTAGGTTTGATGTATTTCCTTTGCACCAAGGAAGTTAAGGTCATCTGATCCAACATGGCTTAAAGCCATTGCCTAAGCCCCGAGGATTTTATAACAGAGTGCTGCTTTTGATGGCTGTGCAAGCACCGAAAAAACCTACTATTAGAATGAGCTACTTTAATCTGTAGAAGAAAAATGGTTGTCTGAATACCCAGGACACTTTCCAGTGGTCCATCCAAAAGAAGTTTGAGAATTCCTGGTACAGGCAGTGCTAAGCCAAATGGACTGAGGGCTTGATTTGGGATAATGTTGCTGCCTGTGTCTCACACACTGACATTTGATGTGCTTATTCCTAAATGTTTCCATACAGCTGATTTTTTTACCTGGCTGAGACTGAAACTGAAGCCTGTCCCAGACACCGTTCACTACATACTCACCCACTACAAAATAATTTGGAGCATCATCAATAGCATTCCATATCTGCGAAATTCCATTATGACATACGTACTAATGTGTAAGTCTCCCCTTCTCCTGCTACTCCTACAGCGCAATCCCATACTTGTCAAGCTTGGAAGCAAACCCATAATCGTGGGACAGATACTGATCTGAGCCATTTGGCTCAGCAGCAATAGCTGCAGTCAAATGCAATGTCCACGTGTCCATTATTTATTAATAACATTTATGTACCACCTGTTCCTAAATGTTGCTGATTAATATTGCTTCCTAAACGTTGTTTTAAACTTGCTTCTTTTTAACATTATTTTTAAAAACCTTTCCCTGTAATATGGTCCTCTTCAAAGATAATTACAAATACAAACTATTCCAAAGGCACAATCCTATGCATGTTCAGACAGAAAAAAACTCCTACCAGACTGAACATGCCACAGCTACTCTAGCTAGTATGGATATGCTGGAAGTTGCAAGAGCTTTTTCTGTCTGAATAGGTACAGGCTTTTGCCTTTAATATTCTCTCCCACCTCCATCTTTCATAGTTCCATGCGGAGAAGCTCTCAAATAGTGAATTTTAAATACCCCCCAGAGCTATCATTCCCAGGACTCTTTGAATGCAGCTATGATGATTAGATAGGTATATAACTGGTCGAGGATGTTTAGGATACATTTGGCTACAAAGAATGGAAGTTAGGCATTGAGGATACCTGAAATATAAGACTGCAAGAATTTTCCAACTTTGGTTGTGTTCACATATGGTTGACTTTATCTGGAGTGCATTGTTATGACTTTAGTTGAGGGGAAATCCCTCCTGTATCCTGGATATCATCTGGAAGTTCCATGGGATATTTGGAGCTGGAGTTTGTGTTCCAGTCTCTTTTCCACCTTGCAGCTGGTGCTGAAGAGCCATGTTGGTTCTCTCCCTGAGACTGGGAGCTCGGCATCAGAGATGGGATACAGGGATCCTTCTGGGGAGAGGGAAAAAGACAGCAGGGGGTAGTGCGTGATGTGTCCTATTGTCTTCTGCAACCTTCTCCCCCTCTCCAATAGCCCTCAGAGAGGTGGCCCCAGTTGGCTGTCTCGCTGCAAAGCAGAGAGGGAAGTTGACAGAGGCAAGGAGTGCTGGCTTTCTGCCCTGCACCGGTTGATCATAAACCTCCAAAGACACAATCAGTGGGCTAACATGTGCCCAGCGTCTGGGTGTCCAATGAGCTATTTCAAAGATTCCTGGTAGGACTTCTGTCAGACCACATAAGTTGGGTCAGAAAGTACTCATTCATCTGTACAGCTGCATAGTCATCGTTTGCTCAGCATGGACATAACCACTCCTTTCTCCTTCTTGTCCTCCCTCGTTTAGCAAGATCCCACTTAATTGAGAGTCCACCAACATACAATAGCGATTATGCTTATAAAAGCTGGGAAGCCTACTCCAACCTTTCCTACTACACTAGAGCTCTTCCACCCGTGGAACACGACTGCCCCACCCCTATGGGTGTGAAAGGTAAGCAGGAAACATCAGGACGGAAAGGAAGTGAGCGTGCTCCAAGGCTTAAACACAGCTGGGCGTACATGGCCAATGCGCATAATCAGCCCCCCAAATTGCAACAGGTGGGCCTATGCATGTACACCAGTCCCCTGTAGATGTATGTGGAGGGGGAGTTCTGTAGGACAATCAATAATCATATAGAGCGAAGATGTGAATGGGACTAAAATCCCAGTCATCTTCATTTTTCAGTTCCGGTTTTTGAGGGGGCAGGCTTATATTGCTCTATTTCATTTGTCCGAGGAACTGAGAAAAGCAGATTTGTACAATCCTGTTGCCAGCAAGAACCAAAGTATTTTGATTTAAAGCCAAGAGATACCCTGTTGTAGCACAGTCCCATTCCACTGACTTGATTCTGCAAGGGGAGCTGCCAATGTTCTATATTCCATTGCCATAGTATTTCTTGCAATTGCTGTTTCTTTCCATTTCCAATGAGTGTTGGAAATAAAGGGTTGTTTTAAATTTCAGGCAAAAAGGAGCTCCCCAGCTCCAGGACCATTGCGGAGAAATTCCTCCTTCGAAGAAGGTTCATTCCTGATCCACAAGACACAAATATCATGTTTGCCTTCTTTGCCCAGCATTTCACCCACCAGTTCTTCAAGACGGACAGCAAGAAAGGGCCAGCCTTCACCAAAGGTCTTGGACATGGGGTAAGACTTTAAGAACGATGTTTTAGCTGTGCTGACTGGGGGATTATGTGAGTTGGAGTCCCACACATGTGGAGAGAGGGCCGACTGAGTCTGATTAGCTGTAACGAGCAAAATATTATCAGCTTCTGTTGGGGGAGGGAGAGGGATATCTCAGTGCATGAAACGTTGCACAAGTGTTGCTTTAGACACATGGTACAACAAGTCTCCTGGAATAACCACAAATAACTCGATCCCATTATCCTTGGAGTCTGTGATCCACTTGATTCTTTGTTAGGTCAGCCCCTAAATAATTTCATAAGCTCCATTTCTACTCTATTTAGATACCCTATGCTCATTTTTTCTTATGTCTACATCCTTCATCCCAAGGAAGGAAGGAAGGAAGGAAGGAAGGAAGGAAGGAAGGAAGGAAGGAAGGAAGGAAGGAAGGAAGGAGGAAGGAAACCCTGTTGCAAAACTGGCTTTGTTGTCATCTAAGAAGTTCTAGGCTATCGTGTTGGGCATGGAGCTGTCATATTCCAGAAATACTGGTTTATAATGAGGGCTTTTGCATCTGAAACCCTCTTATAGCATTAAATAGTAGCCTTTTCATTTGCCCCAAAAGACCTTTTTGGGTAGATCCAAGGAACTTTGATCTACAAATTACATACGAGTAGGTTTATTTGAAGAAAAACATTTGGCTTTTTATGAGGGAAAAAATAGTCACTCTTTGGATCATAGCTGACTATATAGTTGCTTAAGAATCTAAAGCAACACTTATGGACTTTTGAAGTATTTTCCAGTTTTTCAGAACCGTGCACAGTTGGAGGCAGTAGACTATTAGAGTCCCCTTGATTCAAATGAGCAGAAAGAACTTTCCCTTCCTCTCTATTGCTTGGTGTTTGGGAATATCCTGGGAAGACAGATTTATAACATGTTCAGATTTCTCTAGGAAGTTTTCTCCAGGATATTTTAGAGATGTTTTGTCTATTCTTTGAAGTTTTGGTCTTAACCTTCTTCAAAAGGAATCATGGCAGTCTAATTCTTTTTTCCTTCTTCTCTTGAACAGGTTGATCTAAGTCATATCTATGGGGAGACCTTGGAAAGGCAGCTGAAACTGAGACTACTTAAGGATGGAAAGCTAAAATTTCAGGTTGGTTTGGGTGCCTGGGACATTCCTAGAGAAGATATACGTGAACATTTCCTGTGATGTAAGCAGGGACTGTTTTACTATAATGGCATCTGACACCTAGTTTGCTCTAGTAACTATTACATAGTAGTAAAAATGCATCTGGATCACAAATGTATCTAGCTCAAAGTCCAACACAAAGGTGCTTGAAATCCATTGACATTGCCAAGCTTACGCACACAAACTTTGCATTAGATTGTGACCTGATGTTGAAATCCTGAATCCTACTAGGATTTTGTTCTATCTTGCAATTCTTCTCTATTGTTTTAATTACAGATGATTGATGGAGAGATGTATCCACCCACAGTGAAAGAAACTCAAGCAGAGATGATTTATCCACCCCATGTCCCTGAGCACCTGAAATTTTCCGTAGGGCAGGAGGTCTTTGGCTTGGTTCCAGGACTGATGATGTACGCAACACTTTGGCTGCGGGAGCACAACCGCGTCTGTGATGTTCTTAAGGGGGAGCATCCAGAATGGGATGACGAGCGACTCTTCCAAACCACCAGGCTGATCTTGATAGGTAATCTTGACAAATGGTCATCACACATGTCATATGATGAGTTCTAGCAGAAGCCAAAAAGGTGATGGTTCCCCAGTTTAGCTGGCTTTGAAGAAATAGTGTAGCTCAGCCTTTTTCAACCTGATGCCATCCAAATATTTGGTCTATGACCCTTCCCTCTTGGCCATTCTAGCTGGGGCCAATGGGAGTTGAAATCAGAGCATCTAAAGGACACCAGATTCATGATGGGTATACTTGTGAGCCATGAAACTTAAATAAAACCTCCATTTAAGAGGGCAATATACCTTAGAATTCCAGGCACTGAAGCAAAACTAAGAAAGAATGGCTGTTGTCCTTGTGCCCTGCCTCTGAATTCCTGGAGGTATTTCACTAGCCACTGTCGGAAATGTAAGAAGAGACAAAGGCTATTTTTGTTCTCATAAATGTGACTTTCAACTAGTGAAATAGAGTTTCATAAGGGACTGACTTCATTTTAGCTTGCCCTCTTCAACAAGCTGATTTGGAACCACAGGGTTTGATATTTGTTGTTGCCTAAGACATAAACAAAGACTGACTTCTGTGTGTTTATCTGGAAAAACAGGAGAAACTATCAAGATTGTGATTGAAGACTATGTGCAGCATTTAAGTGGTTACCACTTCAAGCTGAAGTTTGATCCAGAGCTGCTCTTCAACCAAAGATTCCAGTATCAGAACAGAATAGCAGCGGAATTCAACACGCTTTACCACTGGCATCCTCTTCTGCCCGATACCTTTCAAATTGAGGACCAGGATTACACTTACCAGCAATTTATATACAACAACACCATCATGCTTAAACATGGTCTCTCCCATATGGTGCAGTCTTTCTCCAGCCAAAAGGCCGGAAGGGTAAGGGCACTTTTCTCTCAACTCTTTGGCATGTCAGAGCAGCCTTTCCAACCATGGTGTACTCTGGGTATCTTAGACTGTGGCTCCCATCATCCTCAGTCAGCAGGAGCTGGTTGTGATCAAAGTATATTGCTGCATGACTCAGATTTGAGTCCCTGCTTGGCCTCAAAGTTCACTAAGTGACTTTGGAACAGTGAATGATTCTCAGTCCAACTTACCTCAAAGGGTGGGTGTTGTAAGGATAAAATAAAGAGAGTTTGTGGAAGCTATTTTGGGTTCCTTAGAAGTAAAATGGTAGGATGCAAATATAGCAAGTATCACAGGAGACCAGATTCGGCCATTGTTTGAATGCCATTTGATTCCAGAGAGACTGAATAGCCGACATCTTACTGTCCCCAACAAGAGCACCATTGCATGGAGTCACATTGCGTGATGTAAAGATTTCCCTCTATCATGGAGATGTTAGACTCATGTCTGGGCTATATTCAGATAGTGGATGAGGAATCGTGGAATAGATGGCTGTCCAACCCTCCCAAAAGCAGAAAAGGTCCTTCAGCTAGAAACCTAGGTCTTCACTTCTGTCCTAACCTTCTCCCTACTGAAAGATCTTTCTTCAAGGAGAAAGTCCAAAATTATCTAACACAGCCAGGTTAGATTCATGCAGTCCTCCTTGCTTTCTGCACCAGAAAACAGGATTGCTTTCTACTCTACCACATGAAATGTTCTTAGAATCTCCAAGATTAAACTATGCTACCTTTGCCTTTTTTGTCTTTTACTTTTTCATTTGGGACTAAGGTGGCAACAACTGGAGGTAACCAGTTTAACTGATGCTTATAATGCCACCTCACCTAAGCTAATTTTAAAAATAAAATTTTGTTTTGAGTTTCAGAAATCAAAACAAATAAACATTAGAAGTAAAATGTAAAATGTTAGTTTTTTACATTAAATTGCTTTCATAGATTAGATCTGAATCTATTACTATGAATATATTATATATGTATAATATTAGTGAAATATTCTATTGTTCTTAGGAACAGTAGACTTCAACAAAGGCAGCTCAGATATCCATTTTTGTTTCTGTTTATACATTGCATTTAAACACTTAATGTTCAAAAATCAGAACAGTAGATCTTTGCTTAACTACTGTTTATTGAAAGTGGCCATTTGCCTGTCAGTATTTCAGCTGTCAAAAGGGCTCAGAGGATCAATTTACTTCGACCCTGCTTTAAGTTCCGAGACAGGTAGATAGTTAAGAATATGCATACTAAAGAGCTCTCCATCACAAATTTACCCTTATCATAACCTACTTCCAAAAAGAAGCAGCCACTGAGCACTACCAATGAGCAATGAGCTATCTTAACATCCAACAATTGGTCAGTTTAGATAAAAAGGTGTTTAAAAATACTGTACTGTCCACTATATCTGAAATATCAGTTTTTGCTGAATTAAACATAAGATCCACTACCCCTTCTGAGATAGCTGCCAATGAAGCAATCCATTTATTGAGCAAAACAGGGTACTTCAATTCAGCATTGCATTCTTTCTGTCATAGTTAATCACCAATAACATGCGTTTATAAGCATGGATTGTGGGTCAGCTGTAGCTGTCAAATCATATATGGCACGTACAGTGGAGAATGGCCAAAAATTATCACTGGGAATTTAAGGTAACATGTAACGTTATTCAGTTCCTCATATTAATCCTCATTTCTTCAAAACCAGATCTCTGGGGGTAGAAACATTCCAGCTGCGGTGCTGAAAGTAGCGATAGCCTCTATCGAACAAAGCCGGCAGATGAGATACCAATCCTTGAATCAATACCGGAAGCACTTTCTCTTGAAGCCCTATCGGTCCTTTGAAGAACTTACAGGTGAGTTCTACAGGTGTTTGTCCTGCATGTCAAGGGGCAGCTTCTCTTTGCAAGCAGGGCTTGCACCACAGAGTTAGAAACAATTATTTGCATGTGGAAGGTCTTCCCAGCTCTAGTTCCTGGTATCTCCCATCCAAGGATCATGAACAGCAGACCTGAGATAGATCTTGAACACCCACTACTGGTCTGAATAGGCAGCAAAAGGCTAGGCTTAAGTTCAGTTCTGCATGACCTTTCATCCCAAGAGCCTCCAAGGTCACTCACAGATGTTGAGATACAAATCTAGTTTGTTTTGAAATAGACTAACATACAGATAAAACAGCTTGATTTCAAACATCAATGTACCAGTAAAAAACAGGAAAGGTTCTGCTTTTTGTTGGTAGCTTAGCAAAGATTCTTGGCAGAGGAACCGCAGCTAAAAATGACACCGTAGCTTGCACAACTGTAGCAATAAGCTCAAAAGCAGGCAGAGGTGTCCGGAAGCCTGAAGCTTCCAGTTTTTGCTAAGGGTGGCTTCTGGGCAACAGAGCTTTTCCTTACCTTAAGAGTTGTGTTGCTCTATGACTTTCCCCACAAGGAAATCTGGAGGCACATGGCCAGATTCTTTCTTTTCTGTGTTCTTCCTGCTGATGCACCTGTCTGCCAGGTGCAGTCTCCTGCTGGCACACCTGTCTGCCAGGTGCAGTCTCCTCTTTGCCCTGGTCTTTCCCTCTCCTCTTCTCATTCCATGGCAGCTGCAGCAGGAGAGAAGAAGGGATTGGTCAGTCTCTCTCTCTTTCTCTTGGTCAGATTCTGCATCAGGTAGCCCTTTGCCTTATTCCAGAACTTAATTGCAAACGAAATACTTAACAGCTTCCAGACTTGCAAGAAACTAGACCACACTGAAAGGTCAAGATCATTGTTTTCCAAGTTTTGGACGTGTCCTAACTTATAACTGATTTCCTTATTACTTTCAGGAGAAAAAGAGATGTCTGCAGAACTTGAGGAGCTCTATGGAGACATTGACGCAATGGAGCTGTACCCAGGCCTCCTTGTGGAAAAGCCACGTCCCGGAGCCATCTTTGGTGAGACGATAATAGAACTTGGGGCACCATTCTCCTTGAAAGGTCTCATGGGAAATGTGATCTGCTCCCCCGAGTATTGGAAGCCCAGCACTTTTGGAGGCAAAGTGGGGTTCGACATCGTGAACACTGCCTCCTTCCAGAAGCTCATCTGCAACAACGTGAAGGGCTGTCCCACTACAGCTTTCCATGTCCTGAACTCCGGAACGTCCGTGACAAACAACGTCAGCACCCCCAGCACGTCAATAGATGAAATCAGCCAAGCAGTACTACTGAAAGAACGTTCTGCTGAACTCTAGAGAACTGCTGTTCACCTCTATTTATTTTATTTATCTATTGAATATTAATATTTATACTACAACCGGAACGGCATGGGTTTTCCTGTGCCTTGGCATTTAACTCAGGATGGAACTTAAGAGAGTTTTGCGTGGCATCGCTGGACAGGATGCCCAGCCTTTAATAACGTCTTCTGTACCAGAAAGATGTTTTCCAAAATGGATCAAAGGCATTCAGTTTGCTACGTAAACTTGAACGCAAATGCTGTTTCTTTACCTTTTTGAGAAACTTGACACTGTAATATGGAACCAGGTTAAGTGCCGCCAACCCAGAACTTGTCATTGTTGTAGGTGTCCTTTTGGAGACAAATGTATTGTGAGAAATCAGTCTTCACAGTCTGTCCCTTTACTGAAATCATTTCAGTGATATCCTACCAAATGAAAGGGGCAAAAAAGGATAGCTATGAGATACCTAAAGTTATACCTTTTAGCCCCGTTGACATGGATCTCAATGCAAAAATTACTTAAATTTGGCTCAGTGTTGCCCTTTTTCCAACTTCCTTAAGTCAAAGTTCACTACTTCCACAAGGCACGGCATGGGGGAAGCGTCATTTTCGGATGTGTAAAGTTGCTTACATGCTTCCTTTATTTAACAAAGTGTCCACCTGGTTACAAAAATATTGCCCCATGGCTTTATAAGACTCTATTGCCCAGGCGGTACCTAATGAAATGCATCAGGGCAAATTCCATGTGCTTTTCAGTGTCAAGATTCCTAGTACCTTTATTCAAGGTCCAGGCAGACCAGCAAATAAGAGGTGACTGGAAGATAAACGTTTACAATTGTTCAATGCTGCAAGAGTTCTTCTTAGGGAACATAAACGCATGTTTGAAAACTAGAAGCTTGGAGAAAAGTAAAGATTGGCGAGCGTTCCAGTAATGGAACCCTTCATCTTTCGATGCTTGCAGCTTCCTTCCTTTGTAGCCAGCACAATCCCTACAACCTCCCTGCCTGGACAGAGTGCTTGCTCCAAGATCCTTTGACCTCAGAGCTGGAGGTCCAAAGAGGGAGACCTTACCCTCCCCTCCTTATGGCCAATGTGAAAAGAAACGTGCCAGATGCCTCTCCGAGGCTGGAGAGAAGGAAAGGGGACATGCCGGTGGGAGGGAAGCAAGCTGGCTGGGGCCAACAACTTCTGCCTTATCCAAACAGTGCCCCAGCCCACTTCCTCCTTCTTCTGCAGCATTTCATCTGGAGGGTGAAAAGGGCCATCAAGATGAAGTGCAGCAGGCAAGGCAGAGAGGACTGTTGGCACACCTGCTTCCATACCTTGGATACGCTTTAGCCTCTGACTTCAGAGGCATCTGTGCATCAAAGATGGATTTAGAGTGTTTGATGGTGCCCTAAGTCTATTTCATGATGATATCTAAAATGTGTCCATTTGAATGGTGGAGAGGCTACAGAAACATCATAGAATAACACTGAAATCCATTCATGGGCTATAAGTGAGTTCTAAATGCAATCTAGGTTGTCACTGTTTTTGACATTCAATGTGACTTGAAATCTAGATCTCTTAATAGCACTTTATATAAGCAAAAGCAATTTCAATTTTAGGACCTGAAACACTACATTTTTTAATATTATTATTATTATTATTATTATTATTATTATAAGGTTTTTGTTACTACTGTTAGATGGGCTTAGGGTAGATCTTAGTTTCTCTACTGGTTGATTACTTGAAAAAATGCAATGTTTTTCCTGTACTATGTATGTTAAATATTTAATATAGCTCAAGAAACTTATGAAGACTGCTGTGATACTGAAACTGGTATGCCGTTCACTCTCAGCTTTAGATCTAGTGCTTTTTCTTTGTTGGGTGGTGCAAAGATTCCTTGTGGGCCAAAAATGAAAGAAAAAAATTTTGATGGCTGGAAAAGCGTTAAGTTGGGAGAGGAAGACAAAGGGCGGTAGCCATTCCAGCACCCTTTTGACTTCATCTGACTTCCTGTTGCTGCTTTGAGGTCATACCCATGGAGGTTGCCCCTAAAACATCTGGGTTCTGCCCAAAGATTTAAGATAGAATTGTCATCCATCTTGTATTAGGAGCACAGCCTTATTCCTGTTGGTTACACTCTGGTGGCAAACCCACCAGCAATGTCCTGTCATTACCACTTTCATTTCCTCTTTCCTTCAGCACCAGATCACTTATGCTTACTATTTCAGGAATAATCTTATGCTCGGAGGACATTCTGTGTAAATCCCACCCACCAGCTAAATTTGGAGGACTTTTTTTGTTGTCAAAACACACTTAGGATTGCATCTTAACTCCTAACATATTCGACTCAGTCCTGTTTCCTCCTCTTATTTGTGCTCTGTGCAGTTAGATTATGAGTCTGTGGGCAGATTGTCTATTTTTGAAACAAGAGCAACAGTTGAATACACTACTTGGAACTGCAGTTGTGTGCTTAATAATGATCTACTGTTCTAGGGGGCAGTTTCTGGAACCGTGCTTTCCTGTTCCATTTTTCAGTAGAAACTTCTCTCAGCTTGCTGCTCTTGGTTTGGTCCACAGATGCACAAGCTGGAAGTCACGTTGTTTTGTGACAAATATACAGAGATAGGCAGTTTTTTTCAATTTCCTGCTACTGCCAATTGAACTGAAGCATTTGTTTATTTTGGAGCTTTTTCATCTTCTTCCCTCATCTCATCAGCCAGAAAGACTTCCAGAATCATGGATAAAGACTGCCTCTTCGCAGGGTTGACATCTGGAAGAAATGATGCAAAAGAGAAAAGGGCTGTGGAGAAACAGGCTCTCACTTTGTAGAATGATGCATTTTTTAGAATGAGACACTTGTGCTTTATTTATATCAGTAAATTAAATTCTATTTTTACATTCTGTTATGTACACAGTACTGTGATGATTGGTAATAAATTATTTTAAGATAAGCATTTGGTATGAGCTGCTTTTCTCTTTCTTCTTTGCCACTTTGAGCACTTCCACATTGGGCATCCATGCGAGCTCAATCCATTAGCAGGAGGGTGCTTTCTGAAGAGCCTAAATCAGACTTGCAATGTGTTGGACTACAGCTCCCATCAACAGGGACCGCCCCAAACTTACATTCAGGTCTATATGAGGACTAGAACTCGGATCCTCTGTGTTGCAGTCCAACATGCCAGTCACTACACCGGCTTGTCATACTTTCTCATCCACCTTTCCCAATTGCCTGGTTTCTCCTAACTTCCCCACAGCAACAGGGCCACTGTTCTTTTATTTCTCCATCTCGGTGTACATACACATTGGCAGGAATATTAATAGTATCCTTCACCCTCAGTCTGTGAAGAAAAGATGCACAAAATCTGGGATGCAACAATTGTACACCAATTAATTTCCCAAACTCAGGGAAAAAATTTGCAAAGCAGCTCCTTTCCTGGTATCTGCTTCCTTTTCATGTGTGAAGCATGGTATTAAATGGAGGAAATCATACTGCATAATGCAAAGGCACTGAAGTTGTTAAAGGGAATGCTGTGGGGAACAGGGATAATTATTCTGGAGGGCCTAATAATGAATTGGTCACATCTTACACACAATTGAGAGTAGATCTGTGATGACAGGCTGATTTCAGTGGGGCTGTCCTTAAGTCTGGACCCAGCTCAAATACTTGGTCCTTTTTAAAAATAGGAATACCAAAGCAGCACAGAAAAAATAAAACTATTTATGGAACCCACAGCAAAAGACGGTGTTTACCGCCATGGCTACAGTAAAGTAAGGCTACGATAAATCTCTAAGTGACTTACCATAGATCAGTTATGGTCTTCCAACTGTTCATCGGTAGCAGAAGCAACCACAAAATCACTCCACTAAAATCATTTTGCTGGTATGAAACGATGGGCAAACATGCTTTTTGTTAAGTACCATTCATTAATGAGTAGTGTTAAATTTTGGTGCTTAAAGGAAATTGCTGGACTTACAAGCTTCAATTCCCATTGCGCAGCCACATCTACGCTAGGGATTTCTACTGGGAATATGATGCCTGATTTGGGGGCCTGTCATAGGATGTCTGCCCCCAAATGTTCTTCATGAACTATGCCAGCCATTATATCCCAGATTTATTCAGACCAGGGAAATCACAACTTTTTTATATGTTGTGTTTTTCCCGTGGAATATATGTCAGCATGTACTAAACTTTCAGTATGATTCGGCAGGGGAAGGGTAGCAAAATAGGAAGCGGAACTGCAAATGAAAGTGTGGCCGGGGTGTAAATTGCCCTCTTGTTTCTTTTGTCCCATCCCCCACAACTTGGCCATAATATGCTATGCCCTGCGCCTCTATCCTTTGCGGGGGGGAAATCAGTGTCTTTTCCATCCTTCCCGATGAATACCCCTGTCCACTTGAAGGAATAACTATTGTTGTAACACATGTCTGCTCAGAAGTAAATCAAATTCTCTCCACTGGACTCACCCAGAAATAAATCCCATTGGTGGCAATGGGGGTCCCTTGTGAGAAAGTCAGAAAGGAGTGGGGCTGTATTTGTTTGCTTTGGGACCAAGGGGGCTCCATCCCATTGGAGGTGGAAGAAAGCAGCACCATGAACCATCTCTGTCTTCTCTCCCCTTCTCCTCTGTGATTTTTTTTTTTTTTTTTGAGGGGGCAGAAGGAGCTGTCATCCCCCCGCCCCACATCAGCAAGGCTTTTAAAAATATCCTTTATTTATTTTATTTACCTAAGGTTTTTGTATGCCATCCCAATTACTAAAAAAGTTTCTGGGCGGCTTACAGAGAGTGAACCAAAAAAAAACAGAACCCATAACAATGACGAGGATGACAACAACAATGATGACAACAACAACGAATCTCCTTCACTCTTGGCCCTAGCTAATGGGTCTTTAAAAAATTAAGAACCATTTCCCAGTACACATCATCTTTCCAGCACCTCCTACTTCTTCCACAGGAGCATCTATAAGGTGACCAAAGGTTTTCTACACAATGGAAGATTTACTGTATTTCTTAGCCAGTACCCAAGTTGTGCTAATTGCATTTTGCAAGAGTACCCTAACTGTGCACCTTCATAAAAGGAAGGGTTGTAGTGTCAATTTCCCCTCCAGAAAAGAAGAAGATGAGGAAGAGCCTGATGTCTGCCATCCCTGTTAAAGGTTGATAAGGAATCCTTCACAATTTCCCTTCCCCTTGGTTTCACACAAAGAACCCACATTTGAGAATGAATGGTGACGGTGTCCTCTACTTTGGAACTGGGTTGGGCTATTCAGTTGTTGTTATATACCAGCAAGTCCCTTCTGATTCATGATGGCCCTGTGAATGAGTGCCCTCCAAACTGTTCTTCACAGCCCAGCTCAGTTCTTGTAAACTCAAAGCTGTAGCTTCCTCTGTAGAACTGATCCTCCTCCTCCTTCTCCTCCTCCTCCTCCTGCCCTTGACCTTCTTAGAATTATTGACTCTCATGAAGTAAGGCAGCCTCAATCTTATCATTTTTGCTTGCAGAGAAAGTTGTCGCTTGGTTTGATCTATGACCCATGAGTTCATCTTTCTGTCAGTTCAGGGTATTTGCACACAAGTGCTTTTTGGAAATGCAGTTGTTTCAAATGCACCAATCTTCTTTCTGCCAGCTTTCTTCCCTGTCCAGCTCTCACACCCATAAATAGTGATCTGGAATACAAGTGTAGGATGACCTTGGCATTGGTCTCCAGTGAAACATCCTTACACATGCTGATATTTTCTAGCTTCTTCATCGCCACCCTTTCAAGTCTCAGTCTTCTTTGAAATTTTTAGCTAGAGTAAATCTTGCACAATTTCAATTTCTTCATTGTTGACAGTTGTGTACTTCTCTGATCATTTTTTTTCATAATCTTTCTCTGTAGTCCTATCTTTCCACTTTAATCACTGTGGTCTGTCTGTCTGTCTGTCTTTCTTTCTTTCTTTCTTTTGGAAACTTGTATGCCGCCCCATTCACATAAGCCTCAGCGGGGCTTCCAACAAATAAATAACAATACAAAAATATAAAAATTGGGCACATCCAGGCAATAAATAAAATCAATCAATAAATTAACCATTAATTAAAATAACGTTTAAATAAAAAGGTCTTTTTTAAAAAAGTTTTTGCTCTTTGTAGACCACCCAGAGAGCTTTCACTGTTGGGTAGTACAGAAATGGAATGGACAAATGAAATCTGACTACCAGCAGTTTTCAGAGCTGCAAAGTAACCAGGCTGTGAAGGAGGTCCTGGGAACTAGGCACTAAACCTGGTGCCTTCCATGAGCAAGGCAGGTGCCCTAAACCTAAGCTGTGGTTGCTCCCACACTCTCTGCCTTTAAATAGGAAGAGATCAATATCCAGGTTAACCCACCATTGTCTTCTTTGTTTTACCATCTTGAAGTATGAAAAGTACTTTCCTCACCTGTATCCAGGCGTCTCCCCTTAAATGACACATAAGCAGAGAGAAGTACAGGTGTGTCTTCCTCCTTTGTTCAGACTTATCCTACTGGCTAATCATTTTTAACAGTCAGGCATGTTCCGCTTCTTTTATTGTACTTACACAATCCTTTGCTGCACCCTTTTTCCTCCACTGCAGGGGAAGCAGGCTTCTGAATCGCCACCTGCAAACAGAACAATGTTTGCTGTTGTTTTCTTAGATACCTTCTCTGTGTGATTTACAGATCAATCAGCCCGCAAGTATTACACTTCAGCTGTATAGATAAAGACTTGAGGGCAAATCTGTCCCTTCACTGCCTTAAGTTGCCACCCATGAAGTCCTCTTCAAAGCGGGCATGCAGGGAAATGAATTGTTGGCCACGTCTTTTGAGATTTAGTCTGAGGGCTGGATTGCAATTTGGAGAAGGCGGAGGGGAACCAAGGGGGTAGGACCTGTGGCAGGACCTACAGGGGTTCTGGGCCAAATTCTTCCCCTATATTTTAGCTTGAAGCCCTCCTTGCCACTCACTAAGCCTTTAGAGAGACATTTTGACCTTTTGGGTCAGGGGACAGGCAAAAGCTGGGAAACCTAACCATTGCTCGTCAGGAGGAAACAGGTGTGATCCTGAGTTGGAACCCCAGGTTTGGGACCCTGGAAGTTCACACCAGCTCTGCCTCCCACCCCAGCCCAGAAATGCTCTGTACACGGCAGCTGGGTTGCATTGGTGTCTCCTGCAGTGAAAGATAATGTGAAATGAAATTACCCCTCCGATAGCTGCCTAGTGTTCCCTTGAATGGCCTTCCTGTTTGCTGTAGGATAAACCCCTATCGCTAACATACCTAGGCTAATCCCATCTCTAGAGGTACCACAATTCCTTTCTTTTCAGATGGGTTCCCCCCTTGGAAACTGGAGGAGTCCTGCATTGCTAAAGTGGAAGACATTTCACATTCCCAGGGCAAAAGGGAATTCCTCGACCTTGGGAAAGGGGCATTTAGGCTGTGATGTTAACCAGACTTGGTGGGACTTCCTTCTCAGAAGACACACACAATGTGCACAAGGAATGGTGCTGCTAAATCCCATGGAAAAAGGAAACTCTTTTCCCATGACCCACTTTTTCACCAGCAAAATGAGCACCAGCCTTTTCCAGCCAGTTCTGCCATGCAAGCAAGGCTGTGTTTTCTGTTACCAAGGCAGCACTTACTGAGCAACAAAAAGAGCTGCTAATTAGATGATCTAGAGCAGGTCGGACAAAATAATTATATTGCTCTTGTTCTAATAAAACCCTGGCTCTTCCATCAAAGACTGGAAAATTAAATTACCCTACAAAATTATCTGTAGGACCATTAAATACATATTGCAAAAGCATGCTAGCATAAAAATATTACTTCTCTATAAACCCTGGCATGTAAAAAATGGATATTTGCACATTATTGCTTGTGATAATTTTGGTCGCAGTATATATTTCGTATTCCAATTTGAAGAGTATATTGCAAGCTACTGTGTGGGACTTCTATCCATCATT